ATATATATATATATATATATATGCTTTGCACTGCCTCAGCTGCAGAACTTGCTATTTTTGCTGGCCTTTCTCTTGCACTCGGGAAGACGAATACCAGAATTGGTTTGTCCTAGTGCTGAAAGTACCTTTGCCTAAAGTGAGTTCCAGCGTAGCTATATTATCGCCATCATCGTCAGCTTAAATTTGAACAAACCTCCATAAAATTGGCATTAAAGATAAGTGGTCTGCTCCAACCAAGTTGCGTTGGTGGCATGTTGTAAGCTAGCATCGCGTAAGCACGAGTGACATTCGAAAGGGTTATGGATAGCACCGCAAGTATATAACCAAAATACTGAGACTGAGCAAATGCTAACAGAAATATCGGCGACATAAGATAAAACACAAATTCGGTACTTACATACCTGAAAATATGATCAGTTCTTTTTATATCCCTATTTCTGCACCAGGCCCTTTTCACTAATTTCCGTTTCAAGGTAACACTTTAAATTTTGAACAGCAGCTGCTAGACATTTTGTTGTTATGCTACTTCTGCCGCCAGCCAGTCTGGAGACACTTTCATTCCATTTGGCCCAGATACAGCTAAGTTCAAAAAGTATTTCATAAGATCACGTTTCACTGGGGTATTCCCAGTGATTGACCTTTTATTCCGAACTTAGTAGTAAATGAATCTTACTCAATCTAAAAAACTCACGCTTTTTGAAAACACTTATGACCACTCACCCTCTTTTCATAAGACCACTAAATATTCAAAGGAAAAATCTGAAAAGTCTCCATTATTATGACATTTATGCTAGACTAATCTTACTGTCATTTTTATGCGTTTTGTGCTGTGTAAAAGCAGCACAAAACGGGGCTGTCTGTTTGCGTTTGTGTGCGTGTGTGTGTATGTGTGTCCGCAGCAACTTGTCCGCAGGTTTCAACTCAAGAATTACAAAAGCTAGAAGGCTGAAAATTTAGGAGAATGCTCCCCACTCCTGTGTAACCTTAAGGGGTCGTACGTGTTACCCGCGGGTACGATCCCGTAGAAGTTCTGGCGGGTAAAATTATTATCACAGGAACCACAAAAGCTAGAAGGCTGAAATCATGTCCTCTGCCCAAGTACGACCCAGAAAATTTAAATTTAGCTCTCTCCTACTCGCGGGTATCGTGCATGGCCCGGCAAGTATTGGCGTCGTTAAATTATTGTCTCGTGAACTGCAAAGGCTAGCAAGCCGAAATTTTTGTGTGACATCTTCTGCCCACGTACAGCTCCGCAAGTTTTCAACGTCTCCATTGATAGTTTTGGCAAGAAAAATCATTACCTTAGAAGCCAGAAAAATTAGGAGGGCTAAAAATTCCTGAAGAATGTTTCCTCTAAACAATGGCTTAACAAACTCAAATTCAGTTCCTAACTATGTTGAAGATTTAAGTGCGAACACGTGAATGCTTTGTATCAAAAACCATTCAAAAGCCAGAAAATTAGCAGATTAGAATTTTGGAAGGATATTCACCTTCGAGGTTTCAAATTCCGCTTTCACGTGCCGATGCGTGAAATTTTTAACTATTTTTCAACATTTCAACTATTTTTGCGCAGACCAAAGTGCAAAGCAGTAAAAATCATTAAAAGGCAGTCGAAATTGCACAAAACGCATAATCGAACTAGCCGTTCTGGTGCGCGCTGCTATTTATTATCACTATAGCAGAACTGATATGTAAAAGAATCCAATTTTTTGAACAGTCTTATTCATTCAGCGCCTGGCATATATGCGATCGATATGTGACAGCATGCTAGTAACATCACTAACAGGAGATACTGAGGGTTAAATTTAAGTTACCCATAATAAAAGTGGAAGATTAATTTCAAAACTTGTCTTTGCAGACCAAAAACTCGAATTTTTTTACCCCTATGACTGCAATCCTGCTTGTATTGAAACAGCAGAGTAGGAGAACACTTTTTTTAAAACCAATAAATGAAAATATTTGAAAGCAACTTGCCATGCCCACCCCATACAACGGTGTTCAAATAAGCTGGCTATAAGAAGCAGATTTTGCCAGCCGAATTTGGCGCACTGTATGTTAGGATCAATTTCAGGCCACATTGCTCGATGATATGTGCTAGCAAGAAAGAACACTCCAATCAGTGTGTAGCAGTAAGATGGCCAGAGACGCACAATTCGATGCACATAAAAATTTAGCCAAAATCTGAATGACCTCCATGTTGGTTTTGAATCTGAAATTTCATCAATTTATGCTTTAATTAGACAATACGCTGGCAATCTTGGCACACTGGCAAGCAATGCTACTTATGCTCGAGACGAAGATGTAAACCATTCAGCGAAGAAACCCAGGAAAACGTTTTGATAATCGGTTGCCGTGATAAAATGGTATTCGATAACATGCCCGGGAAAACAAACACCAATAATTTGCCTAAGTTAGCTTTCGAATGAAACAACCGTTGATAGCCCTATTCCAACAAATACCACTGCCGGTTATATCATGCCTTCTCATACTTGCTTTGATTTTTGGATCAACCGCTGTTTTGTTGCCACGTTTCTTTTCATCATTTATAGAACTGGCAATTTTTTCGAAATTCTGTTTTACGTACCGCTCATCCGCATAATTCCAATCAAGCAACTTTTTTAGCCGCCAAGCGGCATTCCTTGTGTAGTTTAACACTCTACGAATGCCATTCAATAATCGACTATATTGTCTCTTCATTCTTGCCATGTGACTAGCTCAACTCTTCATTCTGATGATGTACGCCTTGAAAATTCCAGAACCATTTTCACTTTGTATAAAAGGTTTTGATATGAACCCAGGCTCGAACGCACCAGGTGGGCCGGTGCGATTATGCGTTTTTGCACTTCTCGTGCCACAGCAAGATCGCAAGGAATCACAGAAGCTAACCCTGCAACATACTGACCCTCGAAGTTCGAGAAGTT